GACATGCATGCTTAATGATCTGTGCCTGTTGGTTTAAAGCCAGATATACACTCATGCTGTTTTCATTGTCTCATGGCTTTCTGAACAAAGACCAAGCTTTAGCTCAGAAGAAACAAGGATGTAAAGCTTATTTGAACCGTTTTGAATTATAGGCACACTGAGATTGCCTGAACTCGGGCTGTAAAATACAGTACGTATGTTTCACTGAAGAGCTCCTAAGAAATGCTCAGTGAATCTTCAGGCTGCATTTCCCTCATTTTTCTTTGAAAACAAATGTTTCTTTCATGCTTTTTCCAAATTGTCCGTTGATGTAGTTGCAGACAAATGTTGGATATCACGTAAGAAACCTTTGTAGGTTTCATGGTACAAAGAGCCATTCAAACCATGACTTCGTGACTGGAACAAAGCAATGGACTAGTTTCCTGACAAATGAAACGAAAAGGTTTAAACTGAGGCAAGACATGAACTGATCTTTCTAGCGTGTGAGAGGTCATTCAAATAATCTTTTGCAGTATTTTTATGGTATGCCTTATTTTTCCTTGTCAAATCTTGTGCCCACATTACCCATGATGCATCTCAACTGCTAGTTCAGCCAGAGATTCAGGTGTGTTATGCTAGTAGCAGTTAACGTAGCCTGGGTCTCTAGCCCCAAGCAGACAGGAGTGAGCTACACAGGTCTGAGCAACACTGACTCAAGTGACATCACTTGAGTCAGTAATGCAGCTGCATTTGGAGATGTTTTAACTGATCCTGTTTTAATGTCACTTCAGTTCTACTTTGAGTATGAATTATCATATGCAGTAGAAAACAACAATATGCAGCGCTGTAAAAGGTTTTGCCACAAACTCAGCCGACTGTATGATTTCACATGAATCTCTTCAGACCTTAGAACTGTGCATGAGCTTCTGGTTGAAGCTTTGGGTGACGTTCTATGATATTCTCACCCTCACCTCACTGGACGGTGACATCATTGGGCAAAGGTGCTGCATTGACCAATCACGTACGGGGGATGATCGTGGACACCCAAGGGAGGAAGGCTCTTGTTTACCTTGTTAGCATGAGCATTCACTGTTATTCACTGTTCAATAATAGTTAATGCACCATAAAGACACAGCATGCTCTTTCATTGGTACTGGATGTTAAACTGTGTTTTTGCCAATGTGCTGGTGGTACAATTGGTGCCAAGGTAGGGTAGGCTACGTTAGCAACATGGCTAACCAAAACACAGAGGAGCTATGTTTTAGCTACACTAAAGTGAAGGTATGGTCATTCTGTCATACTGGCTGCTGGTTTATTTCTGTTGTGTACCACTATTGTGAGGCGGCTTTGGCTTGACAAAAAAAAAAATCACATTTTAATATCGCAACATCTTGTTGCGCGAGCTCTTGTCACAGCCCTAGTAGTCACTAACATCAAGGCAGATTTACTCTGGTGTCAGATGTTGCATATTCATTAGTGGATCATCAAGTGAAACAACAAAGTCTTTAGTTGATTTGTCTAACTAATGAATTTAAGTTTGGGCTTGGGAAGCTTTAAGGGTTTCAGAGTAAATGTGTGTGAATGTGTCACATTTGAAACAGTATTTGGTCAAGTTCATGAGTAGGGTCTGCAGATAAATGTGGCTCTGCTCTATACTCACGAAATTACACGCATTGTCTGTGTGCCCATGTCTGAGCTCTGTCCCAGTGCAGCTTTGAGGCTACATATGGAAGCTGTGCCATATTACATCATGAAAAGCTGAGCCAGTGATTTGTTTAAGCCTGATGTGCGGTATAGGTGTGGACTTGCTCTGTTCACCTCTAATTGTTCACAGATGTTCTCACGCCTTTGTGTCCCACGTCTTGTTGCAGCCAGCTGTTCAGACTTTATTATACTGGGGATAACTTGGCATGGAGTAAGTGTTTTAATTTGGCTCTTGGTTCTATTAACTTGTGTTGGATATTATATCTTTTTTTAGGCTTTGCAGGCCACTACAAAACATAAGAGTTTAAATGATTATTCATATTATCTATTAGTTGATCAGCAGAAACACAAACAAGCCTGAAGTCTTCTTCACCTCTGTCAATACAGGAAGCAGATTTTTAGTATAAACACATTTATATTCTAACTGCAATAAAATGCTGAAGTTATGTCTCAAGATATTGCCAAAAAATAAAGATAAGATAATTACTTTGATGCTTAATCATTTGCAGATTTTTTTTAACGATTCACACAGCTACAGCAGGGATTGAAGCAGGCGCTCAGTGTTAAAGAATCAAAAAATAACAAACAAGGTATTATCAGTCATAATTATTTAATTAAAAAAGCCAAAGATCCTCAGCTTCTCAGTTGCAACAGTTGGCTAGTTTTCTGTGTTTTATAAATTATAAACTAAATGAAAACAAGACATTCGAAGACAACCCCTTCTGCTCTAAGAAATTAATGGTCAATTGACTAATCTAAAACTAGTAAACCAATTAAACACAATAGATGGCATTAGGGCTGCAAGTAATGACAGGTTTCATTATCACTTAATATAGTTTACTGTTTCCTTTAACCGGTTAAGAGTTTAGTCTATGGAATGTTTGGAAATACTGAAAAAATTCCTGACACTGGTTCCTGGAGTCCAGTGTGACATCATAGAATTTCTTGCCTTGTTGGACTAACAGTCTAAAATCTCAAAATGTTCAATTAGAATTTTTTTTTTTTTTTTTTTTTACTATTTAGCTTGAAGTGTTATGCGCACGCATTCCTGTTCATGCTCAAATGAAGGGTCTGTCTTCTGTCCACGTACGCCAGCGTTCTCCAAGCATTGTGGCACATGTGCAGTTGGGGCTTTTGCTGTGCAGACCATCCACACAGACACATACTTTTGGCCCGCACGCAGATGTCTGCGGGGGGTCCACGCAGACATCTGATAAAACTTGCGTCACGTGACCTTGGCGTGTACGCGGACGCACAAAACCTGAATACACTGTAACACAATAACATGTAAATGAAGAAATTATTATTTTATGTAAAGTCGGGGCAAGCTGTATATTTTGTAAATATTAGCTACACATTACAGGGCTCTGTAGCATTTTACTTGCAAGTAAAACTCGATGTGTTAATGTAAAAAATGATTTGAAAACACTGGTGTGAATGACTGAGTTCTTTGGTTCGCAGTGTGTAATGGCTGTGATTTTATCAGTACTCGAAGAGACCAGTGAGTGAGATTAGTAGAACAGGAAACATGGTTTTGGTCTTTATGGAGCAGATTCTCTGTCGCATCTGTCTTGCATTTGAGCGAGAGCGGGGCTCAGGGACAGCAGCTGAGAGGTTGCGGTGGGGAGAGGCTGAAGTGAAACTTGCCAACTAAAAATAACTATGTTTGTTAGTGTACATGCAATAAAACCTAGGCGAGTAAAAAGTCGGAGTTGTTTGTCAAAACACCTGCTAAATAAGCATAAACCTGCAGAGAAGCGATAGTTTCAGTGTGGCCTACAGTCTGACATCTACTGCTGGGATGTGTTAACCATGGCCAGCTTGTTAGGCTAATAGCTAACTGTGTTGTGGTTTTCAGTCCAGTCTAGTGCCCATGTGTGTATCCACTATCTATGGTCGACTCAGACCCTCTCTGTCCATC